CTCTCTCTCTCTCTCTCTCTCTCTCTCTCTCTCTCTCTCTCTCTCTCTCTCTCTCTCTCTCTCTCTCTCTCTCTCTCTAGTGTAGGGCATAAATTTGCCCTTGTTTTCGTCACTCTCTTATAATATTTAAATGGGGGCCTTTTTTTTTTTTATCATTCCTATCTCTAAAAGGAGGACACAAAATGCTGATCCCTTTCATTCCTCTCTATAGAAAGAGCCTGAAAGCTGTCCCCTTCTCTCTCTCTTGTACACACACTTGAATGATGGATTGGATGTCATTTAGTTCTAGATAGCCACATCCAATCTCAAGAAGTTCAATCTCTCTCTCTATCTTTTTGTGTGTGTGGGGAGTGGGGGGGGCAGGGGGGAGGGGGGGGCGCAAGGGATGGGAGAGGGCGGATTTGAAATATTCTTGTTTCATTTCTCTCTCTCCCCCACCTAGAGGAAAAAAAATCCTCTCTCTCTATCTCTCTCTCCATTTCCCTATTTCCTTTTTTTGAGAAGTTCTTGAAATATTTTTTTTTGTATTTGGCATATATTTAAGGCATTTTCACGTGATGCAAATCCATTTGGACTCTCCCGAGTAACTTGTCTCAAGCAAGGACCAAGTCACAAACCCAAGCAGAGTAGTTAAACCTTTACCATAACTTCTATAAGTTTTCTTGATTAATATGTATTTCTTTGAGTTGACTTGCCATGTCTTAGTTGAGTGATATCTTGCTTTAAGTGATTTTGTATTATTTATTTATTTACTCATTAACTCTTTTTTAGTTTTAGCCAAGACTTTAGTAATTATTATTTTTACAATTGGATCCATTATCATTATAATTAGTGTTTCAAAAAGTAGATTGCCAAGGCAAACCAACATTCCCAAAATCTAGACGAATTGGTGATCCAGATCGAAGAAGCGGACCAATTATCTGATGTCAAAATAGGGCCCCAATAAAATTTAAACAATAATTTCACTCTTGAAAATAATAAAATGAAAAATAATGAAAATACAAAATTGGTGATGACTGGGCGATTAGAATTGCTGAGGGGGGGTGGGGGCGGGGTTTGAAATCTTCTTGTTTCATTTCTCTCTCTCTCACTGCCTAATAGTTACTCTCTCTTTTCCTAAACCCTCCTCCTTCTTTCCACCCTTTTTCTTTTTAAAAAAGAAAAAAATAAAAATAAAAAAAAGAAAAAGAGGAGCTCCCTTTCTCTCTCTCTCTCCATTTTACCTGTTTCCTCTTTTCCATTAATCAAAGAAATTGAGAATTTTATTGTCATCCAAATGACCTAAATTCGTTGTTGGCCCACCGAAACGTTGAAATATGGGGCCACTAAACACTTTTCCCTTGGTTTCCAGGATGACATTGTCATTTTGTTGGAGCATGGAAATGAATTCACAATTATTTGGTATGTCTTTAGGGTCCTGTGAATCTTTCAAAAACAAGAGGTACGTACCTCTGAGAGGAAAAATTCCATCTTGCATATGGATTTAGAATATGAAAAGTCCAAAATTGTTTCGGGTGCGCTGCAACTTTCGGTACATGCTCAAAAAATAGTGCAGATCAATGATCGGCAAAGAATTACAATGAATTGTAAAAAATAGAGCGCATATTACCAAACATTCATTCTTATAATGGTTTAAAAATAATCAAGATCCACACAAATAAATAATTTCCAAAAGTCGATTTAGAATAAAGTGATAAAACAAGATGGCATTACAATTTAAGCTGTCTTTAAAGAGGTTGCAAACATGCATCGTATATTATAAACAGAAAGTAAAAAACAGCCCTTCATAAAACCTAAGATCCATCTATCCTTCTTTCTTTCACTTTTTCATTTTTATTGATAAGATGTAACATCAACCTCATGGATGAGACCTACTCAATAAGAGAAAATACTTGGTACGATTCTAATCCACAAATTCAATCTAGAAACTTGTTCATCTAGATTTAAGAGTCTTAAGACCTTCAATATAACGCACAACAACAAATTTCAAATATTACCTTCTCATCGATGAACTCTGACCAGAATCGAGCTTGAGCCCTCTCGTACGGATCCTTGGACAGACTGGGATTTTTTGGCCAGGTTTCCTCTATGTATTCTAATATTACCACCGATTCACAAATGGTTTTTTCACCATGAATGAGCACAGGAACCTTCTCGTGCACAGGGTTGGTCTCCAAGTTTGAGGGCGAGTTGTACCCTGTGAACAAATGGGCTCCCATAAGTTCCCAACAACCTCACTCTTTGCTCTTCGGACGCCATTTTTATGCGAGTTAGCAACACTACTTTGCCGCCTTTTTATAGAAATTTTGAGGCCTCTATTTGTGCTTCCTCTTTTTTCTTTTTCTTTTTTAAATGTTCATTAAATATTCATAAAGACCTCTTTCGTACGGTCTTTGACGTCAACCTTGACCTTTTCGCAGTGTAATATCTAGGCTTCTTTCTTTTTAATTTTGAGAGCATGTGTCATGCTCCCTCAAGAGCATACTATATGTTTACTCTCTCTGCCAAAACACTTTATTGGGAGATTTCTTTTGTGATATGAAAATTTGGGATCCATCTAATTATACTAGATGATAAATTTGGATTTCGAATTCTTGATCATCTAGATCATTCCCTCCAAAAATTGGATGGCTCCAGCACAAACTTAGGATGCCATTGTTTAGGCGCTTAGAGAGTGAGAAATAATTTTTTTTTTCTTTTTCCTTTGAGTTTGGTTTCCGGTTCTAGATATCATATCCCCAAAATTTGGAATCTAAACGATATTTACAGTATAAATTTTGTCTGAGGGAGTAAATGAATAGTATACTCCTCCAAGAGTGGGAATTCTTTTTTGTTTTGTTTTTGCTTATAGTATTGCTGGACTTGCCCAAGAATTTGAAAAGAAGAACGTTAATTAATGTTTATTTTACCAAAAAGATTTGCTGCTTTTGTAAGGAGTATACTATCTATATACTCCTTCAAACAAAACTTACATTAGGAATATCATTTAGATCCCAAATTTCCAGGACGTGATCTATAGAACCTAACAATCAACCTTAAAGGGAAAAAAAAAATTATCTCCATCTATGTACCAAAAAAATAGTATCCCAAGATTGTATTGGAAACATCTAATTTTTGGAGGAAATGATCTAGATGTTCAAAAACTTAAAATTAATTTATTTATTTTAAATAATAATTTAATTATAATTACATTGATAGCAAAATTTCAAAAGAAAAATAAAAAATCATAGGTGTATTGCCCGTGGGAGTAAACTTATAATATGCTTGTGAGGGGGTATAATGTATGCCCTCCTTATTTTATGGGCCGTCTTTTAGTAGTCCCACTATGCGTCCTCTCTAACATTTCGAGAGTTTCAAAGGACCGCAAAGATATTAAATACCCGGCGTACAGATTAATTGCTTCCCAAGTTTTGTGATTGCGCTTATCGAGCAGTTTTGGAAAATCCATAAAAATGACTATTTGAATATTGGAAAAATCCTCAAATAGATATTCTTAACCTCTAGGTATATATGCATATGACAAAAAAAGATTTAAAGTCAAGCGAAATGTATACATATACAAGAAAATTTTGAAGTAACATAAATAACGAATCTTGCAAGGCATTATCTGTAGTT